GATTATTAAGCAATCACTGCTGTACGAGCTCATTATTAGAAGTCGCACTTCGGAGCCAGAGACACAAAGAGGGACAAACTGTTTCTCTTTCAGCAGGAGACTTACCCGGAAAGGAGAAGTCAGGGTGTTGATTATTGAAATCAGGATGATCAGATTGTGAGCTATTCCCTGTGGTTGGGGTCCCATTCCCCCCACCCCCCCAAGCCACTGCTTTTCCCGTGGAGTCCATCATCTCTTCTCTCCCCAGCGAAGCCAGCCTAATACACGTGTGTCGGGCTAGTGCTGGAAGGGAGGGTCAGCTTTACCCTGACATAATCACTGTTTTATGGCTTTCACTCATTCCTGAGGTGTTAATGCAGATCAAATGGGAAACACTCGGGAAAGAGCGCTTGCAGCTACTGCCCAGGCTAGCTGTCCCGTCTCAATCGTTAATTCTGATTGTAAGATCTAAAGGTAATTTTGTTTGCTCTCTTAATGCGTTGCAGTTCTCCCAGTGGCCCCTGCATATCCTTTCTCAAATTCCCATCTTGATCAATTGTTTGCAAATAATTAAGCTTTTAAGAGATAATGGCATGAGGCTAATGTACACAACAAAGGCGAGGTCTCTTGTCACTACCTATTGGACTGTGGTCAAATTTGCTTTGATATCCCAAAGTGATTAGGTTGATTGGTGTAGCTGGCAAGTGCAACCCATCTTCCCTTCATAAGAACCTCCTGATCTTCCTTAAACGGGTGTCCTTGCCATTAATAGCAAAGGTGTGTTCAGGAGACCGGCAAGGGGTGACCCAGGCTCTTGGTTGCAATGGTTTGGAAGGAATTTCCCATTCTCTTCCTAAAATGGCACATCTCTTTATCTCTTTTGTAAAATGATGTCTACCTTTTCCCCTCTAACGGCCTCACCAGCCCTGTGGGCCTAACACAACAGGATTTCGAATGTTTTTACAGCAGTCTTGCTCGTGGCATGTTGGGTTTTTGTCAAGCCGGTTTTTTTTTTTTAAGTCTACAAAGGAATAACTCATACTGTCCACAAAAAGCTTATTTAGGAAAGATGCATAGGATTTAAGATATTTAAAGATACTGGATTTCAGTTAAAAGCTTGCTTCTTTGTGAATTTTTGCCTAACTGTGGATTAGCTACCTGAAGTCACAGCTTTCATGTGATTCTAGCAATTATGGGTTTGTGTTTTTTTGTTTTGTTTTGTTTGTTTTGTTTTTTTCAGGAAATTAAAAGTTTGTGGGACACGCAGGCCAAGAACTATGAGAAAAAGAAAAAATTCCATCTCCCTGCCATAGACAAGGGTTTAGGGAATTTTGTTGACACCTTTCCCCCCACCCCCTTAACAATGACCAGATTATTGTGACATTTAATTTCATCCAGGCTCATTCATTTCTATTAGAAAAAATATATCCTGAATGACTGAAAATTGTTTAATGGAGACAGAGTGCTGGGTCTCCATAGCTTGAGGCTGCCTAGCAATTATGCTGCATGAAATTAGACACAGTTTGTTCCAATTACTTAAAATCAGATCACATGAAAAGTGACAGGAAAAAAAGGCTAGAACTTTCTCATTTTATGATATTTAAATTATGAAATCAGAAACTGCATGATGTGAAGAAACAACCTAAATTTGCGCTGAAATTTTGAGGGCCATCGATTGCTCTTTGAAGCTGTAATGATTCAGGTAATTTTAATGATCCAGAGAGAATTTTCCTGACACCACCTGCATAAATAAAATGTGAGTTCCATTTGCTTTGTAAGAATGGTTGTAAAACTTACACACAAACAGGCATGCAAAAATACTCTTGAAAACACAGCACAAATAAATGACTGTGACCATTTTCAATTTTCAAAGTAACTAAAGGTAAATGGCATAAATATTAATTTTTATCCAGTTCTGGTCATCATATTAAGACACAACTAACAAGACCGGGCAAAAGGTATTGCCATCCAGCTATAGTGAAGTGAGACTGTTGACATATTTATTAACTCTATTGAACATCACTGAGTTTTCCACAGGACCTGAAAAACCATAATCAAATTACAGAAGACGTTACAGATTGGAAACAACTTGTGTACACGGGTCTACAACTTTATATGACAAGGAGTGCCAACAGCTCGGATGCTAAAATTTGTGTTTTTCAAAATCAGGCTTATAATGTGTAAGAATTGCAAGCCCGGGTAACCTCTAACTTTGATGGATCTTAAACTCCAGATGACAAAATTGAGGATTAGAAAAGTTGTCCCTTGTTTGAAAGCTCATAATTAGTGAGTGGCAGCATAATTTTTACAATCTAATAGGGCCGTGTATACCTTATATACAATTCTTCAACTAGTGTAGACATAGAACTTCTATATATCAAACCCTAATTCAGTATCTGTTCATAGGATATGAGGTTCATGCGGTTTGTATTGTGCGGCTGGAACTATGTTTTAAACCTTAGGGTAGAGAACTGCTTTTAGCTCAGTATCCAGGCATGAGATTTTCCTAGGATGACTGGCATTATGTTGAGTAGTAGGGTGATTGTCACCTATGATCTTAGCCTATTATGAAGTTTATATACTGTTACTTGACATCACTGTTAGGAATGAAGTCAGGAAAGTAGCATTGTGGATCTCAAATTGGATTGTTTATCCCTCCTGTGGGCTGTTGAAAACATTTTTATTATACATTTTGATGTTGCATCTGAGTGGAGAATATCTGTGTATCATGGCAGGACGTAGCCTCCTTCTTGTTTCACCGATATTTACTGACCTCCCATTATGTGCCAGGCTGGGCTTTGAGAATGGTGAATGTGAAAGTCACGACTTTGGAGTTGCTAGGTGTGTGAGAGGAGACACACCCACAGGACCCAAATCATCAGAGCAGGTGTTTCAGAGAGCGATGCTTTGCCGCTAGGGAAGAAGGGAAAGCCTGACGTGAGAACAGTAAGGTGGGCTGGTGGACGCTGGGTGGGTGAGGTTTGGCCTTTGGGCTGAGCCGAGAAAGTGACCCTGGAGCAGGAGCCTGAGTGGTAGGGATAAGGTTGGTGTGTCGGAAGAACAGAAAGGAGGACTGTGTGGCTGGACAGAGAGGTGGGGCGGGGTGTGAAGAAAAGGCTACCCAGTCTGAGCGGTGGGCAGAGCTGGAGGGTGGCCTGCCTTGCAGGCCATAGTAAGCAGTCGGGAGGTTTTGGAGCGGGCATAAGAATGAAGATTCTGGGCGCCTGGGTGGCTCAGTGGTTAAGCGACTGACTTCGGCTCAGGGCATGATCCCGGAGTCCCGGGATCGAGTCCCACATCGGGCTCCCTGCTCAGTGGGGAGTCTGCTTCTCCCTCTGACTCTCTCCCCTCTCATGCGCTCTCTCACTCTCTCTCTCAAATAAATAAAATCTTAAAAAAAAAAAGAATGAAGATTCTGAGAGGCATTTGCCACATCCCTCAGTCATGGTGAGACTTAGACACTGGAAGGGAAGCAGGAAATATCACTGAGTTGTGTGGCTGCTGACCGTGTCTTTCCCTGGCCAGTTTCCTCACCTGGAAGACAGGAGGGACAATAGATTCCATTTATGTCCCTCAAAGGGATATAATGGGGATTAATCACCATCCTGTCTGTAATATACTTGGAGCTCTTTAGAGAAAGGCACTATATCCCATGAAAGCAAAGCCTTATTCTAATTGTGTATTTATTGATTAAGTGACAATCAAAGACAATGCTTATGGGAAAAATTGCTAACATCTCTGCTCTCCACAAACGAATCCCACATGTACAGATATAGAACATATTTAAACTTACATATAAGAGCATTAGAGTGGTCATTAACGAGCCTTCTTAGCATCTAATCAGACATTATTAATGAGATTAAAAGCTATGTTAATTAACATTCAATAGACCAGAATTTAGTTTCCAATGGCACAGATAGTTAAATTGAGAGTTGAGGGTGCCCTTTCTTATTCATAAGGGAATAGAGCGTTGACTAGCAGAACAATTTTTATCTTGGGAGAATTTCTTGGGATGCAGAGTTTCAAGCTGACCAGTGTGTCCATAGATGGATACCATGTCCCGCTTCAGAAACATGTATTTCAGATTTAGATATAGTTCATTACTGAACAAAAAGTATTTGTGCCAAAACTAATTTCAGTAGAATTCCAAACATTCTTTCAAGAGGGTATGAATTTCATTTTATTATCTAATCCTGTAATACTTTTTTATCCACTCTAACTCATGAGGAACATGGCCGGGCTTGTTCTTAGCATGCAAAATATGCTGGTCTTTGACCTTGTATTGGCCTGTGTTCCAAATCCCAGCATGTGTTGACATTCAGATATGGAAACCAACTTTGGTTGAATGTCATTTGTTTGCATTTCAGAAGAGCTACAATGATTAGTGGTTAAAAAAAAAATACACCTACTTTAATTTTGATATTTGCATCTGGCAGTATGGTGTTTTGGAGGGAAAAGATGTCATGCTAGCAAAGTGCTTAACTACTGGGGACCTCAGCTAAGGTGGTTGGTCCAAATGGTTCAGCTTTAGAAGCCCGTGGTTCTGAAATATGAAAATATTATGTCAAGGTGATATGCTTTCATATCATCAAAAAGGGCTTGTCCTTATTTTAGTCCTATAAAATACAGTGAAAATCATACTAAACTTTTCTGTGTTTGCAACAAATAAACCTTTAAAGGATAAATTCAGTATCAAGGTTCTGCAAGTATCCTAAGTAGCTATTTATACACTTCACTAATCTTTGTAATTGGCTTGTCTTTTACTGCCATTAATTAGATGATGTAGTATTCCATTAATAAGAGTGACACACCTCAGCATTTTTACCTTTAATTATAGACTTCGCTAGACACTTAGGCTATTGACAAAATAGCCTAAATATTGCCTGATACACACATTTTTTTTTTACAGAGCATATGTGTTTATTATTGAATCCCTAGCCCCTAGCATTGCACTTGACATGTGATATGACTATGTGCCCAAAGTATATGTGCACACATCTATCTTTTTTGTTCTCTTTCAGCACCCTTACCCTTCTGAAGAACAGAAAAAGCAGTTGGCACAAGACACGGGACTCACCATCCTACAAGTGAACAATTGGTAAGTAATTTGGTTTTGTGTTTACACACAATCTGTTTCCCCCTCTGGCAACCTGCAGCTAATGTTTTGCATTAAGAAGACACACCCAGTTGTTGCTGTTTTCCCCCCGTGGCTTGTGGATCCAAAGGTGAAAGTAAATGGTTGACTGATGGGTGAGAGCACTTGCTAGCATGGAAGAGACACACACACACACACACACACACACACCCAACATTGCATTGTTTTCCATTGCCTTTAAAATTGACAAATTTTAGGCATAGTATAAATAAGTGTTTAATTCATGTTCACTGTGGCTCCATAAATGGCTTCCCCCCCTCTTTAGGATAATCGATAGAAAGAGTGGTATCATCCTGTTTTCTATGGAACAAGAAAATCCACCATCACGTATCAGTCAGGTTTTACATTCAGTGAATAACTAACTGCAGTTATTTTGTTAGGGCTGAGCATTCGAGGGTAGTCTCCCGTTTCCTCCTATCTTCTGTCCATGGAAAAAGAGAAATTATTTATGTTTCCACTTTGAAGCTATTCAAAACCTGCTGTATCTCCGGGCTGCGCAATATTGTTTCTAAATAAATGTGTGAATTCCTGATTTGGGGGAAGCTGAGATTCCATACCAAGTACCAGCCAACAATATTCTGACAATGTACGGTGGTATGGCAACGAGGCTTTAGGAAAGTATGATTTAGTAGCCTTTGTGAGTGTGCTGAAAGCCAGGTTCATATAATCACCCAGAGCTAGTGTCATATTTGAAGGGTATCGAAATCCAATATCCTCTCAAACTAAGTGTATCTAATTAATTGTCCTAATATTTTTAGATTAGTGTTTATGATGGGGAAACCTTATCCTCTTTGAAGTAAAATCCAGAGAAGGCCCACAGCCTGGTTGGGGAAAGGGGAGAACTGGGAATGCCAGTTTGCAGACAGAAGTATTTCTTTCTGTTCAATAAGTGTCAAAGATTAATATTACAGAATCTCTGATTACATGGCCTAATCCATTTTGGTGAATAAATTTGTTCTTGATGTCCATTGCACCTACATTAACAGACCCTTCTCTGTTAGAGAGCCTGGGAGCCTTTGGGAGAGATTCCAGATATATTAAACCCCATTACAGAAAATGAAATTTCTGTCAATATAATCCCATGTATTCTTCAATTTAGTATTTTAGAGATAACAAGCTACTTACAATATATTTGCCTTTGGAGGATTAATTTACAAAGTGCACTATCTGCAAGACACAGACAGACCCACATAAGCATTGCTTGTAAGGGTTATCAATTTCTATGACCTTACCATAGCCTTGGGAGATCAATTTTTGCAGCCTTTAGTCAAGTGGATAGGGAGCCAAGGGAAGCCATACTATACCTATATGTGTTGCTAGGAGTGTGTCCCTGCTGCGGATTTTTGTTTGCCTATTTGTGCCCTCTATTGTATCTTAATTTCCAAGACTGTTGATACTATATATTTGAACTTAGGCTTCAGGTCCTCCTGGACAATGTTCATAGGGTAGACCATCAATTTTGCATGCACGTCTGAATTCAAATGTATTTTCAAGATTAAACCGATGATGCAATTTTAACACAACCGAGGCTGTACTAATGTTATTTCCCTGGGAAACGTTCCCATTTGAGGTCCAAGGAGTGGCAGGGCGAACTCTAATTAAGGAAGGCAAAAGCGCTGCCCCTCAGGTGATCTATCACATGCGCCATCTCTCTTCCTCTGCCATGTCACTAGCAAACTCCCTCTAGAGACATTGTTACCAGAGAACAGATCCCAAGACAACTTGCTTTCCACATGTGGATGAACTTCAGGGCTATTTCCTGTGGCTGCACGGGCAGGCAGGCATTCCTGGGACACCAAACAGTATGCAGTTGTCACTTACCCAGATTCTACTGGGTGACCATAAAGCAACTTCCTCAGTTTTGCAAGTAGAGGAGGAAAAAGGGACCTTAAAAAAGTCATAATACTTTTCAGAGTTATATGCAGACTTACTATCCACTTCACATGGATATTCAGTTCTGCACAGGTACATAAATACACGTCACTCTGATTTCTGCGGGCTGTGAACCCAGTCGTATTCTCCACGGGCCCTGTGTACTGCGCCTGTTTCTCCCTACTTCTCTATGGAGTTAGAAGTGACTTTGGCTTGCACTTCATTGTTTTGTACTTGGCAACTCTTTCAGCTCTAACAACTTTCTGGTACAGAATTTCCCTCAAGTAAATCAAAGTTGTAAGAGAGAGTGTTTCTCCTAAGTTTGGTGAATAATGACATTCCCATGTTCGATTTGAGGTTCTAATGGTTTCTTAATTTTCATCCAAACCTTCAACTTTTAAGGAGCTGATAATAGATTCTTTTTTGGCTTTGAGTAGGAAATAGGTTGCAAAAATGGGGAAACCCAGATGGTATTGTATGAAAACCGAAGATGTCAGAGCATCTTCAATTGTGGCATCCTTGAAGACTAAAAGCAGCATAACCACTAAAGGCTTTTCATTTTACTTTACCATAATAAAACATTACACAAAGCTTTCTTGAGAGCTTGTAAACATTTTTTCCTATATTGAGCATCGAGCCCAAGATCCTTCCTCCTGGAAATCATAATTAAAAGAAAATCCTCATTAGTATTTTAACATTTCCCCTTCACTTCACTTAGCCACAACATTAAAAAATGTGTGTCTTCCCTCTTGGATTTCTTAAAACTTGTTAACACACATGTACATTTTGTACGAACTATGAGTCACTGTTGAAGAGGTTTAATAAAATGCTGAAGGGCAGGTTGGGTGTAGATCAGTCATAATTATTGGCAGCAACATCGTGTATCAAAGTACACAATATGAAAGTGAAAAATATAAACTCATGTCTAGTGGTGAGCTTGTCTTAGAAACACTGGCTGATGCAGCTTTAAGTTAGGTTTTGACTGAAACAAAGATGAGCAAAGTTTGGTGTGTTGTAATGGCTCTTTCATCCCATCGCTGAACTGATCTCCCATCTCTCTAATTGCCATGAGTGATACAAACTACCGGCCTTGGCTAGCCCAGGCCAAAGCAGATGGGATGGGGTAGGGGGGCGGAGGGGAGAGGAGACAATAGGGAGAATTTAAATGGAAAACAACAGGACAGATTTGATTAATTAAAAGAAAATTTGGATTAAAAGAAATAACTCTTGTAACTCTTATGTTTGATCTACGTGTCAGAATGAAAACAGAGAGGAGGAATCTTAAAATGGTTGCTGTTAGTGCTTATAGGAACTGGGCCTGGGGATGGAATGTGAAACTTATTAGATGAGACATCATAGGACAAGTCTACGCCAACAAATTTTTTGAGAATTGAGGCAATGATGCAAATAATTTGGGTGAAAATATTTTTACCTTAATTGTAGAAGTATCTGAGGCAACTGCATGTTTTTAAAAAATCAACTTCCCTAACTCATTGCATAAACATCTCACTCTAGCATGCTGTGGTAGACCTCAACTTAAAAGCACAGTAATCTTTGAAATATAAGATGTGCTATACATTCATGTATTCTTCTTTCTTTGCTTTCTCCCTCCCAATTATGATTTGATCCCAAAATGAGCAATAATAGCTTTTGGGAATTTTGCCTTTTTGTTTTTCCATTGTTGTTGTGGCTCTGTAATGAAAATTACTTCTGTTATATCAGCCGTGAAAACATATTACTACAATGTTGAATGTTTTAGTCATTTAAGCAGAAACTTCCTACATTTTGAGATGGTTATTTAGATCTTTAATCATTTAGGTCGAACTTTAAAGAAAACACACACACACACACACACACACACACACACACACACACAGTCAATCTTGGTTCTTTTTTTTCTCCTGAATACACCAGTTTTATTTTTTTATTTGGAAATGTGAGTGTAGAATGGTCTTGCTTCTCTGTTTTCACAGCAGTGTTGCAGAGCTGGGACTTCCATATGATGCAGACTTGTGCCTGTGGTTGTATCTTCCTTGCTGGATGCCTCAGACAACATTCTGCCTCAGCGGAGTTCTAGCCTAGGGTATATTGAATAAATTTTACAGTTTCTTTGTTTACTACTACTCATCCAAACACTTTCCCATTAAGGCCTAATGTTAAATGATTATTTCTTTATGCTCTGAGAAAGCAATATGGATCTTAGGTGCAAAATATATAGTGTATGTGAAATGCAGTCTGTATGCAGAAAGAAAAATCACTCTCCATCAGTTGGGTGCATAAAATTCCAGGGAGCCTCTTAACATCTGAGGTGACACTTTTTACAGAACTATCACAGCTCTACCATTCTCAGATTTAGTACATATACCAGATTTTCCTAGTTACTTCATTTACTGCCTTCAAAACTGCAAAGCATTCAGGCATCACTTCCCATTTATTACCAGTAGAGGGGGAGGGGAGGGAAGTATGTTATCCTTAGAGATTTATGCCACTGGCAGGTAAAAATGTAAACTTATTTTTAAAAAATAGGATCTCCCTTATAATAAACAGATTCAACTGTTAAAGGTCAGGTTTCTTTCTGAGTTATGGTAATAATGTAGCAAATACTTTTATAAGTAATCAAAGATTCTATAAATATAGGTACCTGTGTCGATGTAAATGTTAAAACATTCACAAATTATCCTTTCAACTTCTGTGATCTAAAAATCAATAGGGGGTCACAGGGTTTCATAGAATTGCTCTGCTTTTTCTTCCAACATAATTTAATAATACATTTTACAGATGTTGTTTAAACATTAGGCACAGATTGTTTTGTCAATAAAGCTAAACAGAGGCATGACACAAAAGCACGGAAAACAGATGTAAAAAACAGTGCAAGAAGCACTGGGTCATTTGTTTGCTATTCAACTGCAAAATGAAAGTACAGGGTGTACAGTGATTTTCCTGGCCTAGAAATCACCTAGGGATGGAACAACTTAACACACAAAAGATAATTTTATTAAGCAGGTGGTTTAACTTTTTCCCTTGAGGATTTCAGTGTAACCCACATTTAAGGTAGACTTCTTAATTGATCA